TCAGCCCTCAGCCCAACCGCCCCCCCACCATGTGCCGGTCCCCCAGATACTCACTGAGCAGCTGCGCCCCAGCCGGGGCTGTCTCCAGTACCGGGAGAAAGTGCCACAGAAGCCCCAGCAGCCCCAACAGGGCGCCCCCCACGCTCCCCATAAGAGCAGCACGCGGGATCCGCCTTGCCGCGAGTGACGCGAGGGATGAATGAGTGTCCTGCACGGGGAGCCTCTTCCGGCAGCCGCGGGGCTCTCGGAGACTCAGTGCGAGTCACGCCGAAGTCTCCTCCAAGCGGCGGGGGAGCGAGCGGAGGGACTGAGCCCGGAAGCCCGAGAGCAATGGGGGTCGGAGGGGAGAGAACGTTAGCGATCGCGCTCAGAGAGGAGAGCGCCCCAGGGAGAGCCCCGAAGAGGGCCCACCGGTGGATCAGCTGGAGGGAGTGACGAGTTGGGTGGGAGGAGTCAGCAGGGACTAGAGAAAGCCTCGCCCCAAGAAAGACCAACCCCCCCCCCCCCCCGCAAGCCCTGTGTGTGTGTTGGTGGGGAGCAGAGACTGAGAACACCAAGTCGCCCACCCACCCCTGGCACCTCAGCCTCCCTGCCACGGCCTGCCACTGGATACAAGCTCCTGGTCGCTTGTTTGCCCTCCTGAAGGGGATGGGATAAGCAGGAAGTGCGTGCGTGCGTGCTTGCGTGCGTATTGGTGCTTTCAGAGAGTGGCCAGCATGGAGTTTTGGCTGATGGACTTGAAATAGTTTCTTAAACTTCCCATGGGTCATCTATAGGGCTATATAATAGGAACACAGCCTGATTATTTTGTCCTGGCTACTGTGACCGGCAGCCAGAAAGGCAGGCAGGAAACAAAAAGGCTGAGCAAGCAGAGTTTATTGCTCCCGGGCAGCAGCTGAGACAGAGCCCCTAGAGTGGGGTCCGCAGCTACTGCGAGTGCTATAGGGGAAAAGGGTCTCATACAGACTCTAGGTTCAGATTCCAAAGGGGTGACTCATTGCTGTGTGCCCTGATTTGAGTGACACTTCATCCCACCGGTATCTCCCAGATGGTAGGCGCATTTAATTTATTACCTTTGGATGCAAGGCCCAGTTTAGTACCGCCTATAACCCTTCTAGTCCCGTCAGTAAATCTCCGCACGTGGTCACTCCCAATACTGATCTAGCGGGAAAAGGTGAGCTAGAACAGGATGCAGTGGCCTGAGCTTCACGTGCTACGGACTCACCCATTTGAGGTGTTAGTGCTGCTTCCCTGAAGTGAGCAAAGGCAGGCGCCATGTTCTCAGAGGCACGAGCCCCTGTACAGTCTCTGCCCTCTCATGTCACTGCAGTCTTCTCAAGTGGAAATAAAGGCCTAGGTGATGGATGGATGACTGGGTGAACCGGAGATGTGAGAATCAAAAACCCAGAGAGGGCTCTCCCTGGTGGCACAACAGGTTAAAGCACCGCATTATGAAGTTCTCTGAAGCCACTGCAGCATGAGTTCGATCCCTGGCCAGGGAGCTGACCCACATGATGCAACAGACCTCTCCTGACCCGCCTACTGCTCCCCTCAGCAGTGTACTTCGTCAATCTGCCTGTTCTGCTCCCCACTCTATCTCTGGTGAATCCTCTCACCCACCACAACTCTGGCCTGTACCCCAATTCTGTATGCATGAATAAATAAATCTTAAAAAAAAAAAAAACAGAGAGACCCAACCATCACTGGCTTCTAGAACCGTCTGCCTTAACTGGCAGAGTCGACAACAGAGGCCTCAAGGTGGCTCTGAGCTGCCTCAGGATCCCAGTCTCCAGCAGAAAGAGGGAAAGTTGGGACTCGGGCCTCGCATCTCCAGAGCTTTCCCCAAAGAGGAGTTCCTTTATTAAGGAAAGTTCCTTGGACCCACTGGGTGAAATTGTTAGAAAGCCTCCGTGATGACAGAAGATAACAGCTGTCTGCAACACCTTTCTTGGGTGTGTGAGAAGGGAAAGGAAATGCTGAGTCATTGAGAAAAGCAGAATGGCAGTGACTGCCGAAAGGGCTTAGGCACAGAGAGGGGGAGGCAGAGGTGTTGTGGGGAGGGTGCAGGCACATGATAAGGACATCACCGCTCATCAGGGAAACACAGCCCAGGGAGCTGGTGGGCGGCCGGGGGCACAGCTGCGGGGCCTGAGTGTGGGCACAGGGTGGGTGGGTGAAGCTCCGTGATTCTGCCTGGAACCTGCAACGTGGCTCAGCTCACTGGGTCCCCCGACTCAGGTGTTGAGGGGTAGATGTGGACACCAAGGTCAAGGTAGGTCTCTGGCACCTGTCTATACTACTCGTCTGTGTCTCCGCAGAGTTGGGAGGAGGTGAAGGACTGGGAGGGGAATAGGATTCTGCAAGCTTCTCGCAGGTGGTGCACCCCCAACCTAGCTTGGCAGCGTGGGCATCCCGGCACCAGAGCACCTCTCTGTGCAAGCACTGGACAGAGAGACCTGCTGTCCAGACATCACTAATGCCAGGGAGACTGGAAGGGCGGACAGGCGAGTGCGCTCAGGGAAAACCTGCTAAATACCCCAGTCCCTGCTCCCTGCCCCTGGATTAGAGGGCGCCAGAGCTTCTGGGAACCAGGTGTGATCAGGACAGGGGGTGTCCCCACGGCACAGGACCCACAGCTCCCACAGCTCCCTGGGAGAAACACATCCCCCACCGTTCTGCTCACATTCCCTTTCACCATCCCACTTCTCTGCTCCCTGAACTACCCCACCTCAGCTTCTCAGCACAGCAGAGATGCACCCCAAGGCCTCTCTTGGCCATTCTTCCCTACCTCTGGAATTCAGTCAACAGTCCACCACAGCTTCCGCAGCTTCCAGCCCCTCTCCCTTCCTCAGCACACCCAGGCCCACCAACTCCAACCCACAGAGAGGTGACCCCAAAACTTGCTCTTGAAAGGGTGCCTGCACCTGCAGGGGACACAGCCCAGGGATACCCCTCCCCCACCATAGAACAGAGTAGGGGGGCCGGAAGTTTCCCCAGTGAGGCCTGGGGGGAGGCACCTCCAGCTACACCTTTCGCTCCAGGCACGGTTTTACCTACTGAGGAGACACATCATTTGATTAGGAGTGGGAACCTTTTTGCTGCAGCAGCAGAGAGTATTTCTGCCTTCAGTGCCACTTGGATCCGCCTATGGCTGACTCCCTCCACTTAGCTCTGCAGTGGCAAAGACAGCGTGCAAACCAGGGCTGCCGATCTGGTGAGCAGACTCCAGATCTACGGTGTATAAGGTGGACCTCATATAGCACCACACTCTCCAGGGAAACTCTTGAAGCACAGCCGGCCGCCCTTGGGTGTTGAGAGCCAGAACCCTGTCTTGTCCTGCCCATGGCACGTGGGTGGAGTGAACACCACAGGCCCAGTGTTGATGGCCTCCGTGCCCTCTCTTCTAGGCTGAACCCGTGGCCCCAGAATGCAAAGTGACTCTGCCAGGGGCTGCAGGTCAGAGGTGAGGTGGGGTGTGGCTTTGTGGTTGACTTTGAGCCGCCCTTCTGGTTTGCCAAAGAATTTTCGGAAAGCATTATACTTCCACATCATGGAGTAGATAAAACCATGGACTCTGCTGTTCTTCTATGGAAACAGAGAGTGTAATGAGCCTCCTTACAGTCACTATCCATTAGTTGCCCTCAGCCTCAAGGCTCATATCTCAGTCTGATATAAATGAAAAATTCTGGATCTTAAATAATGTAATATTTTCTGATCTACAGTGGATTGTCCTGTCTTTGTCTACCCTTTCCACACTACTCACTGTGAAACACACCTTTGCTGTGGGAAAACCTATTATTAAACATTGTTCTAGGTGGACTCTGGACCAACGTGGTGACACCAGGGCTTCCTGGAATTCCTTCTCCTGGGGGTGCACCAAAGGCCCAGCAGGGCCCTCCCTGGTGGCACAGCAGGTTAAAGCGCAGCACTGCAAAGCCAGCCGCAGCCACTTCAGCATGAGTTTGATCTCCAGCCAGGGAGGTGACCGACATGGTGCAGCAGTCTTCACCTGTCTCACCTGCTGCTCCCCTTGTTCAGGGGAAGGATGTCCTAAAGGAACTCTGCAGAGTCTTGTGGACCCCACCCACTACTCCAGTGATTGGAAACTACAACTCCCAGCAGTGCCAGGGAGTGAACTGCAAGGACCCAAGGGCGGAGGTAAGCGGGCATTCTGGGACTTTGGGGGCTAAACAGGGGGCCATTTTCTACACTCTCTCTCTCTTGGGACTGTGTGGCTGGTGGCTATCAGTGTGTTACTGGAGTTCCAAGTCAGTCAAGCTGGTAGGATGTTCTAGTTACCTTGTGTCTCTGTCTCTTTCCCTGGGTTGTCCCTTTTCCTTTCCCCTTTTGTAAATAAACCCATTATTGATCCTTTTTGTGTGTGCCTGCAATACAATTAAATTTTAAGTGCACAGGTGAGGACCCATAGACAGGCGGCCAGTTCACACCAGGTTGCCCTGTAACACCCTCAGCAGTGTATGTCAGTGGATCTGCCTGTTCTGCTCTCCACTCTGTCTCTGATGAATCTCTCAGGACCCTGTACCTCTGGCCAGTACCCCAGTTCTGTATGCATAAATAAATCTTAAAAAAAAAAAAAAAAACAGGCCCAGCTAACTCCTTCTGACATAGTCAGAGATGCCTCCTTACCAAGCACTTTCTAAAATACCCACATCAGAAAGCAGAAAGCCTGGAACGGTTGAGTGCACTTCATAAACCACATCCTCACATCTGATTGAGCTGTGCCGTCAGAAGGAATCCCCCAGGCTACACCTTCACTCCCAGTTCTGCCTGAGGAGTAAAGGTTTGGGTTGGGCAGCCAGTGTGCCCGCTGTTACCATCTTTACCCTAGAGAAGACCCCCAAACTCCTGGTATGGAGATCCAAGTGGACCTGCATTCTTGGGTCTGGCTGGAATGTAGCAAACCAAGAAGCAGCTGTTAGCAGGTGGGGTGTTCTCACTGGGCCCATTTCTCCAGGGAGAAACAACCAGTCCCCACAATTCTTGAAAGAATAAAGCACACCCCCACATCTGGCTGACAGATGAAAAAGTGTTTAACACTATTAGTTATCAGGGAAATGCAAATCAAGACCACAAAGAATAAATATTGAACATCTCTGATCATCAGGGAATGAAAA